GGGGGGGGGGGGAGCCTTTCTCAAGTATCTTCTTTTATTCAACAATATTCAAAGTGAAATTCATTCACATGTGTGTTTCAGTTAATCTAAGGCTTATGATGCAGCATTCTTAAGCCTGATCTGTCTTGTTTGCACAAAGCAATATCGGGACTCAGAAATGCTGACTCAATTCCACTGCTGTGAAAGGCATAGGCATGCTTTGCAAATTAAAAATACATTAGAAATTAAAAAGCAACGTGTGACACAATGTCAACAATATGTGTAGCTCATAAAAAAAGCTCACCAGTCATTCATCAGACAGACTCCAACTTGGGTTAAAAAGACAGTTAACAAGAGGATTCTGGGAAGGACTACAGATCTCTTTTCTAACAAAGGAAAGGTCATTTTAACATCTCCCAGCAACAAACTAATGACAGAGACGCTGTAGATGCAGAGGACTCTGCTTGATGCTATCTAGTGTTTTTTGTTTTTGTTGTTTTTTAAAGTTTCTTATTTAAAACCTTCATTCAGCAATAGGAAAATGTAAACTCTAACATTTAATTGTAATTTTAACTCTAACATTTAGATAAATACAGTGAAGGGAAATTTTTGAAGAACAGAAAAACAAAAACTGATTTGGAAGGCAATTAAGAATACTGTGTGATCAATGTCAATTACGGAGATTAACAACCCGTTTTTACAAAGGATATCAAGCACCATAGCGGAAAATCTCTGATGCAGCTAAATACATTATCATTTTCAAACAGGGTAAAAATACAAATATCTGTTAAATCTAAAATAAAGAGCCAAATGCTCAAGAAAAGTCCTGTCAACTATATTTCTAAGAAAAAAACATAAGGATTTACAATGGCTTTTCTTTAAGACAAATATTTAAAATTTTTATACAAAAAGCCTTTAAGTTATAATTTTTTTGGAGTCACTAATGACTCTTTGCATCCTAGTTTTACAAAGTAATAAATAAAATTTAAAAGATATTTTGTCTCTTGTATTTGAATTATTTGTGGAGTAAAAGAAAAATTTTCAACTTGATACATCGACATATCTCTTTCTTAACATTTTTAATGTGTCCCTTATTTCCTTAAACACTTCAGAGTATCGAGGAAATAAGATAGTACAAATATTTCACAATCTCAGAATTTTTTGGTTTTTATTTTATGATGGTAAAACAGAAAGCATACAAAATAATTCAATAAATATGTACACTTACATAACTCAATGGGGAAAGGATGAAATAATTATAGACCTTTATCAATTATAGTCCTTTATCAATATATAAAGGACTTGTTATAATATGGACTTGATCTTTAGACAACTTTAACACAATGACCCTAAGTAACCCCCCAAAACTCCTGATCCAAAAGTACCACATCCTTCAACACTCTCAAACTTTGGCATTAATACCAAGAAAGAGCGGTGACTTTGGAAGGACAGTTACATTACAGAAGGCTCAAAAAAGACCCAATTAAATGACCTACTTTTAAACACAATAGGATCGATATGTATGCAGGAAAAGTACACCCCAGTGGAAAGTTCTTATTGCCTGATTGATCAAAAACAAAACAAAACTTTTCCTTTTAAAGGGCCCCTTCCAGATCACAGTCAGTGCCAGAAATCCACACAGGAAAAAAATCCATCAAAATGAAACCCTAAAAGGGTTTACCCTTCACCATCCTATTTGCACTTCAAAAACCTGTAAGTCCTTCAGTTAAACCCCAGGGCTGAACCATTTCAATAATAAGAGAGGTGGCCAGCGGTGATTTATCTCCCATTTGGCCTCTGGACAGAGCTGTAATGTCTACGGAGCTTCCCTTCACTGATTTGAACCCTCCCCCAAGTCTCAACCTTCATTTGTGCAGCTTTAGATCTGCAATACCTTATAAACAACTCATATGGCCCTTCCAATCAAATGCAAGAACAATCTGTAACTGAAGATTTGGGTACATTTTCTTGGCAATGCTTTCACTGCTGAGTAATCAGAGCGTTGAAAATACCAGGTTAAATTTCAGGTTCTCTTTATTACAAGTTGAAGAAGAAAAGAAATTTCCTTAACTTTTGATTCTCTCTTCTCACATGTTAATTGGTGTCAAAACTTCTTAAATGCTTTCCAATTTATACCTTAATATCCTTTACATTTTTGGCCACATCAGGCATCTTCTTGCAGTGGTGTTCATCTAAATTTAAATCCTTGCATTTTAAAATATCTTAACAAATC